CAATCAATGTCAACTTTTGTCAACTTTTCACTGACCCTCCCCCCTCTGAGCTGACGTCATTAATATTGTTAACGGTCCCTAAGATGACACTTTTTTCACGACAACAGATGAGCGTCTTGGACAGGTTCTGCTGTACGTTATTTATGTATGTCATTTCAATGGTGGGTTTTTTCTTTCCTCTTCTTATATCTTCAAATCCTTTGATTCATTCAAATTTTGCTAGAAGTCATTTCTGTTTTTAAATGAATAAAACGAATGTTTGGATAGATTTTCTTTTGTCAGAACAGAACGTTTTATGTTATTGTTACATTGTATCGTAAAGCGCTCAGACCCCTGTGTACCTACTTTAATGCAGTGGCGGTATGTAGTGAAGGACTCACGGGCTTGAGCTCCTCCCCCCCCCCCAACTTCATCCCAAAGTAAATGAAAGTTTCCTGAATAATTAAATAAGCAGTTGAAACCATTATGGTAGCACGCAATGAACCCAGAGTGATCAACTTGGCGGCTTGCTCGTTTATCCAATCACTGTTGTCACCGCTTACAACTATAGTATCCTAACAGCCAATCAAATGTCTTTAGGGCTCAGCACAGAATGAGCCGATTCCCGATTCCCTTTGGTAATGAAACTCTTCTTGAAAAAAGGTAGAAGCCTGGAAAAAGTACACTGTAATAAGGGCTCACGCTCTCACTCCCAGCCCTGACAATGGGATGAAAGTTTACGACACACTTTCGCCCCGTGACACAAATACCTACGCGCTCATTGGACATTTATTGTTAGGTGCGTTCTACTTTCCGCGACTTCAAGGCCCTGGTCCAGCTCATAGACAGGACATAATGTTTGAAGTGCTGTGTTTGTACGTTTATGTTTGTGCCACTGAGATTTAATAGTTATAAACCACGTCGATTGACTTTTGAGGTAACTTTTTTTAAATCTAGAAGAACCTAACTTAAAACAAAGAGACGGAAGATAAAGATGACTCTTCTCGTTTGAATGGTTCTCAAAATACCGTGGCTCACCGAAAGTAAAGAAAAATCAGTACTGTTTAGGGCTTATTGTTTGCTGTTTGGTGGTAAAGAAGTGTCAGCAACTTAAGCTGCACCCAAATTTAGGTCCACCCACCGCCACTGCTTTAATGGGCACTATATACATGTCAAATGTTATTATTTCTATCATTTTCAACCAGACTCGCATCGGACATAACATTATGTTCTTGAGAGAAAGTTTGTTAAAAGCGTTAAATGTCAGAAAAAAAAATGAGAGCAAAAACTGAGCATTCTATAAATCACGGGAGCATATTCAGTAACTACTTCACAAAGAAATCGAAAAGCTGTATCCTTTCAGGAAGCTGACAAAATGGTTATTACAAGTAAAACATTTTTTTCTTCTCTCCTGTTTTATAAGAGTGAACAAAAGACTATTTTTTATAAGGACGCTCATGCTTTTAAAGTTGATAAATCAGTGATGTCCATATTCTATCATTTAACCATAGAAAGTATGATCAATTTCTTTATAACAGCATGGGCCGGATACACAAGACAATGAGATTTTTTTTTAAAGTTTAATTGAATAGATTAATACGGAAAGCAGGCAAAATTTCCACATCTACGTTCCCCGACTTCGATGAATTTTACATTATAGCTTGAACTAGGAAAATTAATTCCATCTCTTTGGACAATAAACACCCCGTGTTCCCTCAAATATAATCATCAGTGAGAAGCAAAAGATATAAGCTTCTGATCTGTAACAAAGAAAGTTACCGAAGGTAATTCTTATCATCATCCATCGAACTCCTGCCATCTTAATCATCTTGTTATAAGTATTCATATGACCTTTAACTTTAAAGCATACATTAGAATACCATTGAGTTACAGTCAGAGTACTGAGTTTGTTTGTAGCTTAACGTTATCAATTTTTATATTACTGTTCATTACATTATGCATGTAAATGTGAGCCTGTTTATGAATGCAAACATACTATTATATCATTATAGTTATGTGTACAGATGTGTGTGGAAGAGAGGATGTGTGAGGGAAGTGTGTGTGTGTGTGTGTGTGTGCGTGAGTGTGTGTGCGTGAGTGTGTGTGTGCGTGAGTGTGTGTGTGTGTGTGTGTGTGTGTGTGTGTGTGTGTGTGTACGTGATGAAACACCAAAGCAATGTGCCTGGATCTGGACAATAAAGATGTATCTTATCCAAGGACCTCCTTGATCTTATCTGATCTTATCTTATTTTGATTTTAAACATCGTTATCCCCTGGAACCAAAATTCTCTACTGTAAAACACACTAGCTCACAGCAGACAAATGAAATATTGTCATGTTTTAGTGTGCCTTATATAGTTGGGTTTTTTAGTGTTTTTTTTAGATCAAATGTACTCCTAAGAAATACAAATGCCACATAGCAAGTTCAAATGCCACATAAAAAGTTTCACGCCACATAAAATGTTCAATAAATGTACAATAGGAAATTTTAGTGCACAATTGTGCGTAACAAATTCAAAAGTACAAATAGCAAATCCAAATGTAACACAATAGCAAGATCAAATGCCACATAGCAAAAGCAAATGTGAGGCATGCTGAAAAAATGAGTTACTTCTCGCATTCCACAGATGGAGATATTGGCCAAAAATCGACACTAGGGTCAAATTTGTAAATTTTCTATTGATGCCATATTCTCTAAGTACTTATAAATAGTAAAAACTTCACCTTTCAGTGTGGTATACC